AGGCTGGACGTTCCTTTGATTTTCAGCAGGTGTGTTTAGTGTACAGTATGCTTTTCTGAAATTTTTTCATGATGGAAGTGGGAAAATTTGTGTCTATCTATCTATCTATCTATCTATCTATCTATCTATCTATCTATCTATCTATCTATCTATCTATCTATCTATCTATCTATCTATCTATCTATCTATCTATCTATCTATCATCTATCTATCTATCTATCTATCTATCTATCTATCTAATTTTTTTTATATACCATTTGCAAATTTTTGGAAAGACCTCTCCACAAAAAAATGCACATGCACAACCCTGTAATCGCTCCAGAGAGGGAACGCCTATTAAAAACGTGCATGTGCATGCACGAGCGAGTGCAAGTGCATACTTAAAAGTTGCTGTTTGAATTGCTCATACAAGCTTACTTGTAAAAATGCTAGCTCCGTATCAACCATATGTCCACCGTCACTTTACCTGTTATTATTGCATATCTATTGTATACTTCACTCATACCTATTTAAATCTGCAATAATTTAATACAATCAATCATTTGCACAGAACTTTACTGTTGTCACTTTATACCAGTGTTGCCTTGTCTGTCTGTATATACTTAATGTGTATATATATATATATATATATATATATATATATATATATATATATATATATATATATATAGATATATATATATATATATATATATTTTTTTTTTTTTTTATACTTTGTATTCTTCTTCTTTTTTCCTACTGTACTGTGATGCAACGCTGCAATTTCCCCACTGTGGGACAAATAAAGGATTATCTTATCTTATCTTATCTTGTATGAGAAGAAGAAGATATGCAATTTTTCCACTATGTCAGACTCACCACCGCTAAGTGAAAATAGGGACGAGCACGTAGGACGGCCTTACGTAAACATATCACTAGAATGATTGACAATTTGGAGGACCACTTATTTTCATGATCCACCCAGAAAGAAAAAAATCCTCCACTATGCTTTTAATATTTGTTTTCTCCATATATATATATTAGTGCTGTCAAAATTATCGCGTTATTATCGGCGATAATTTTTTTAACGTGAGATTAACGCTATGTGGTTTTATGGTACAATTTTCCAAGTACATCCCGCTGCAGCCTGCGGGAAGGCAGGGCTATTTTCCCCCAGTCTATGCATTTCTCATAGGCTTCCAGAGCGGACCTCCTCAAGGGAAAAAGACGCTCTTACACTGGGTGGCGCTAGTGCCTTTTCTTTAAGCCCCACCACCAACAAACAAGTTGAGTGTCTGGTAACTAGTAGCAACCTGAAATACGCTGAGAAAACAGATTACTGAGGTGAAATGGAATCTGCTACGACACTCTTGCCGTCTGTGTACGACACAGGTCGGTATCGTGTGTGTGTGTGTGTGTGTGTGTGTATGTGGGTGGGTGGGTATGTGTGTGTTCTCATTTTTGTTAAGAGGCTGAAAAGTAACTTTCTAGAACATAGACTACCTCCATCTAGTGATGTCGGTCTATTGATTTTGATGTATTGATTGAAAATTGTTCATTATTATCTTGGTTAATTAACATCTAATGTTAACTCTACTACATTTTATAGCAGTAGGGTAAAATGCTTGTCTTTGTTCAAAAGACTGTATTAACTGTAAAGACTGTCTTTTACATCAGCCCATTTTCAGGGCCTTTTTTTTTGCCTATGTATTTGTTATTTTTGGCATAAATCAGTGTCTGTGACCTGTTTTCATTTTAAAAAAAGAACATTGGCACAAACCTAGCCTGTATGTATTTTTTTGTATGTCATCGAGAGTATTTAAATGATTTTCAATCAGGAAAAAAATGTGCGATTAAAATGCGATTAATCGCGAGTTAACTCAGGCATTGATGCGATTAATCGCGATTAAAAAAATTTAATCGATTGACAGCACTAATATATATATATATATATATATATATATATATATATATATATATATATATATATATATATATATATATATATGAAAAAAAACTGTTAACACAATCTTAAAATCTGTTTTCTTTCAACTTTCCCTCTTCCTTTTCATGTTGTCCATTTGTTTCTGGCTCTAAAAACCCCAAAACTGACAAACCAAACATGACATCTGACACAAATGAAAACAAAGGAAATTCTACACTAGATTACAGCAAGTAAGTTCCTAGCAATCTCCCCTATAATCCACATGTCTTGACCCCACCCTGTACAGCTTTCTCCAGCCAAGGAGTCACATTGGTTCTCGTCGGCTCAGAGTCAGTCTAGTCGGGCTTTAAGAAGTGACCCAGAGCGTAACTAAAAAAGTCTGAGCTCTCTCCAGACTTTTAGTAACTGGGGCACACAAAACATCATTACCGTGATGTGGATAATTACAGTGCAAAAAGGGGGTGACCTGTTAAGCGTGTAATGCACCCTTTTATCTTGAGAAGTCAATCTTTCTGAGGCTGTTTGCAGTGTATGATCCCAGTAAACAAATGTTTTTGTGCGGCAAAAGAGTCCCATTAAAGGCCAAAAATGTCAAAACAGATTCCATCTCTTTGGGTTTTTTTTTATTTGTTTATTTTTGTCTTTTTACAGAGCGGAGGGAATCAATGTGCAAGGGAGGAAAAGAAAAAAAAAGGGTTTGATCACTTCAGGTTGCTTTAACTTGCATAGAGGTTGTCATGGTAACATTTTTATGAGGTTAATAGATATAAAAAAAACCTGAACAGGTGCTATTTAAAAGCCTTCGAGTTCTGTAACAGAGCAAAGTTAGCCATCCATGAGTGGTTTTAGTAGATTTAGGCTCTGGGATGTGTTTAGTGAAAGTGATGCTGGTGTACCACTCTCTTAATAGTATTAACCACTTCCCCTGAAATGTAACAACACCTCAAGGGGTTTAGCGAGCAAGCTGTGTAATTACAGAAGGGGTTGGAAGGGGTGGGAGATGGGGCAATTCAGAAAAACAAAGAAATAGTCCAAAATAGTTTGTAATCTACTTTCCAGCGTTGATCTAAACTTATACACAAATTTAGCCAGTGTCAACTTAAAAGGTTTCCTGCATTCACCAGAAACGGCATGCAAAGTTTTTAATTGAGGGACAAATAAAAAGCTCCCTCTGCTTCGCCGCAGCTAGAAGCAATCATTTCCATATTTAAGACGCAATCCCACAAACAGCCAGCGTTCATCGAGCTGAAAGCAGCCGAATCTTAATTTTGATAAATGATTGAAACATATGACAGGGTATACACATTAATCCTGCAGAGGACATTCATTTTCCTATTACCATAATGTAGAGCACGACCACCCGATGATGAATGCAGCAATCAAAAAATGGGACGCGGCAAGAGAGAGGGGAGAGCCAGGGTAATAAGTGTGCTGGCTCCCAACATTGGTCACTCTTCATTTCTCCTATTGCCTGGGAAGGGGGGGGTAATGCTTTTCAGTGACCTCACTTACTGCCGCAGACATCAACCCCAACAACAAGTAAACAGGAGAGCAGGAACAGCTCTAATTATGTCTTAAGAATTCATAAAAGGGAGCGTTTGAATAAAGGGGCGATTGTGCACTGTCGTAGGCATATTTCATGAGGGGCATTTACTGCCGCCTTAGCCTTTGAAGAGTGGGAGCTGCTGAGTGAATGGGGGGGGGGGACTTGGCCCACACCTGCATAACTGGGGAAGGGGAACACCTGTGCACCCTGCAGCCTGATCAAGGAGGCTGGCTGCAGCTAAATCCAAGGGGTGAAAGTGGATAAGAGGACAGGCCTAAAGAGTTCTTTTTACTATGTAGAATTCTCCCTGTATTTAAATGAGAGATGGCAAGACCCTTAGAGTGTGAGAAGGAATGTAGAATTAAGCTGTAATTGTAGGATCTTTATGATAAGACTTAATTATCTATCTCTTTTTGACTTGGAGTGGAATATAGAAAAATGGAGCATGCAACAACGGTAAGGTGATCACACTGCTGATAATATCTGTTGATAAGGTATTCGCCGGACCTATCTAAAATATAAATCTTAGAAAATCTTTGTGCATGTGTGCGCTTTTAAAGCAATGATGATGGCAATTAAATGGAGGAAGGCATGTACAGCTCTGAACATCAATGCAACAACGATCAGTTGTGCTAGAAAGAGGTAGTTAAGTAAAATAAACTTCTTAACATGCTCATGCTTAATATATCTGTCATAATCAAAACAAAGCAAATGCCAATCATTTGTCCAAAATGAGAAAACGGTCAAAAGAAAAAACAAAAAATGCTTTTTTTTTTAGAGCTTAGGTCAATGTGTATTTTTCAACCTGATAGTAATATTATCGCTTAGAGGTTAGAGACATCTATGTTAGATTAATTCTAAATCACAACAAATTAGAGCCTAATTAAAGGGTTTGTTTTTTGCTGCAATTTAACAGACATCAGAAGAAAAATAAAAAATACAATTGTGTTGGTAATAAAGACCAAAAATGGGTTTAAAAAAGCAGTATTGCTAAAAAGGGCTGATTCCATAAATGTCCTCAGACTTTATATATATATATATATATATATATATATATATATATATATATATATATATATATATATATATATATATATATATATATATATATATATAAATTATTATTTTTTTAATAATAGGCCTAAGTAAACATTAAACACGAAAATTTAATTGAAATAAACAGAAAATAACTAAATAAATCTTTAAAAAAAAGTAGTAAGATAATAAACTTCTGCATTAAATACATTCTGGTTATTGCAATTTAGAGTATGATACCTATAATTAAATAATTTGGAGGAGTCAAAATGCACGTTTTTTCCAAAGTTTGAGCGCTAATAACCATAGTAAAGTTTAAAGCGCTTATCTGAAAAGAACGCGCAACTTGTAAACAAACGCGCTGTCTTTAGTTGGGTATTTAAAAACACCAGGCAAACTTTTAATACCACGGCGATCCACCTTTTCTGACAATAAAAGTTCAAAGAATAAGATTTGTTTGGGGAAAAAACAAACAAACAAACAAACCAAACTTACCACACTCAATCAAAAATAAGGCAGGCTTATTTCCCTGTCGTTAAAAGTCAAAAGAGACGCACCAGGTGAGAAGTCGTCTTCCTCCTTTTCTAGACTCGCGGCGATGTTCGCACGTGATCGTCCGAGAGGGTAGAAAGCAAACAACAAGACAAGAAGCGCTGGTGTAAATAACTAAGCATAAAAAAAAAGCAAAAAAAAAAGCTCAGTATTCCTCTGCTGGGCAATGCTGTCGGGAGACACACACCCTCCTCTCCTCCTGCTGTCTCTCGTCAACGCTGCTGTTATTACTAATGCAACAGAGAGGAAAAAAGCAGTACACTGAGTCCTGTTTGAATGACGCGCAATGCGAGAAAGAAGCGCCTTGTTTTCTTTTTTTTTCTTTTTTAAACCCCCCTCGTTACGATTCAAACACACAAGCTGTATCCCAAGCAAGCACGCGCGTATATTTGGGACTAGAAACCCCCCGTGGGGGAAGGAAGGCACTTGCTTGTACCACAGAGGAGTGTGTTATTATTTGGGGGGGGGGGAGTAAGCTTCTGCTCCCCCCCCCCTTGTGACGTCAGGATACCTACCGTGTAAATAAAACTAATTATTATAAACTTTTTTTTTTTTTTTGGTCGCTTTATCGACGAGCGCGTGACGTGTAACACTTCCTGTGCAACTATCCGCACGCGACCGAGTCGGTAAACTTCAAACAGGCAGAACAAACACTCTCCACGTGCTGAAATTTGACGTTATTAGGAAATCTGAAAAAAATAAAAAATAAAATAATAATCAATATGTATTTAAGAAATATTGAAATATTTTAACTTTAGAAGCTCTCAGCGCGATGCATATTTAGTTTTTAATTTTTTTTATATCAATCTGAATCAATTAGGTAAATATGAATGTATATAAAGGAATTACGGAATTCCAAATATGTACATTTTTTGTTGATATATATTAGAACATTTCTAACAAGACGAAAAACTGTTTTTTTCTGCAAATTGCATTTAGTAGCAAAAGATTATTTATAGGCTTATATATATATATATATATATATATAATATAAAGAACAATATCATTAATAAAAGACAGCAACACTGTTTTACTAACTAATATACAGGTACAAAAAAATTAACGTAGCTTATTTTTAATCAAAATATATCAAAGGATGTAAGCAGTTCAAGATGTTTCTTTTGATACGTAAATCGATTTATTGCGTATTATTTCCTGTTAATCTTTGACAGGATCAACATAGTCGGATATTAATTTTTTATTTATTATTTTATTTTTATTTTTTTTCCCCACCTGATGCTCAATTCTTCACCACGAATACGTTGATGGGGAATACCTAGGCTATCAGATTAAGCAATTTGGGGATGAGTTTCTTTTATGTGAAAATAATAAATAAATAAAAGGATATAGTGTGTCACATTTGGTCTTATCCACATTTTGAAAATGTTACATTTCATTTTTTAAAGTGATTCACGAATCGTTGACATGTGATTTACAGTCTAATAAATATGTTTATATTAAATTTAACAAACCATATATATTTTCTTTTACTATTAAAATAATTTAGCTGATCTTCATGTATTTATCATCAGTCTTGCAGCATATTTAAATGTCATCTTTTTGTCTTGTAAACAACAATTTTCGAATCATTGTATTCGATTAAACGTCGTGCATTCTTTTATTTATTTTATGCACATTATACATTTTTATTTATTTCATAGATATATACTTCTACCTTCATCTTTTGAGTTTTTTTCTTTATTTCACCAAACCTTTCCGCTCAAAAAAATAAGTTTTGCATCCAATGAGAGAGAAATGCGCGTAGGGGTTGTGGTGGTAGCATGCTGCCACCTAGCGGTTATTTCTCAATATTGTACCTACACTAACATGGACAATGAACTTCAGTGAACTTTTATATAAATATATATATATATATATATATATATATATATATATATATATATATATATATATATATATATATATATATATATATATATATATATATATATATATATATATCTTACCCGTTAAAAAAATAATAATACATAAAAATGTGACACTAACTATACTCTTGAAACTTATTCTGGCTAGACAATTAAAATTAAACAAATTTAGATATTCTGGCCTAATGTATTAACTATTTTTGATCAAATAGTGCCATCTACTGATGTGCTGAACATAGAAGCATTTGCTGTCCACAATATACGAACAGATCGTTCTGGTGTTTATTCTATTTGTACAAAAATCACATTTTATTGTGAAAAAATTTTAGGTTTGCAACACTGCATTTGTATGAGACGACAAAAATGCAATTAAAAGAAGAGATCTTTGGTTTCAGAATCTTGTAATAATGAGTGCTTTAAGTACAAATTTCCACTCACTTACCTCTAAGAGGTAATAATGCAAGCTCTAAAGTCTATTGACAACAATTGCTTCTTATGGGATTGTTGTCGGAAAATTTAATTTCTGTTCTTTCCTTGTCAGTATATTGATGTATGCTATTTACTCTCTAGAAATGTTTTTTTTTTACTCAATTTGTTTCACCTGCAAGGCCACCAAATGTCTGAGTCGGAGGTGGTAAAAGACAAGCCATACCTTTTTCAATAACAAAACTACATACTTTCCCAAGGTAACTGTTTAACCAAAGTGTCTGTGATTGTTTTGATATGCGTTAAGAGCAAGGGGACAACTTTGTCTAAGTTAGAACTGGGCAGACCATCATGCTGTGAATGTGAATGTCTTTTTCTCCTTTACTTTGCAAAGTAAATAAAGTGCCAACTGAGTAAAAACTGAACATTTTTTTCACACAACAGGGATATAGTTTCATATCTTAGTTTAGATCTTTAAATCTTTAAGCATCAAATCTTGGAAAAGAGAGTCCAGCACAGAACAACAGTTTTAAGTTTTTCTGTTTATGATGAAATACATCTAGGTCACCTTCTCAGGTGCATATTTTGCATTTTTTGTAGAAAGCTACAGTCCAAGAAATCGTTTGAACACTTTCATATTTTTAAAACTTCATAACCACAAACTTACATTTATTTCATTAGAATGCTATGTGAAGTATTGCACAATCATGTAGTAAAAGTAAAAAAACAAACAAAAAAAAAACTCTTAAAAGCTGTGATGTAATTCTGTTTTAATCCACTACTTAAGTAGCAGGTGCAAGATTTCAGTGTCTCTACCAGGATTGCTAATAAAGAATCATTTCATATATAGCTTTTTCTTGAAAAAAAAAAAAAGTTCCAACTTACTAACATTACATAAAAAAAAAACATCTGAACAGCATTTTTTTTCTTTAACACACACACATTGGACTTCTGTATCTATTCTAAATTGGCTGCTCTAACATATGTAGCTTTAATACTTTGATCCAAGCTGTTTCCTTGTAGTCCAAGCTGCAATGACAGTTAACCTCTGCTGGATCCTCAGGTTTTTCTGCTCTCTCCAGCAGCTGTTCCTGCAGAATTGTCCTCAATATAGCTACATTCATTCCCCTATCAACACTGATGACCATTACTACAGCATGATGCAGCCACCACAAGGTTTCACAAGTTTAGTGGTATGTACATAGTTTGTTTTTGCAGCAAATACATTTTGACTAGAGGCCAGAAACCTATGTTTTAGACTGAACTGACCAGAGCACCATAATATGTGCATTTGCTTTGTCCCTTATCGTCTACAGTAAAAAATTAATATTGAATTTTACTTCTCACATAATTTTTTCACAATGCCTTGAAAAATAATAGTGAGTTGGTTTTACTGCATCAAAGCAGGGGAATCAGAGTAAAAGGGACTGTAAACAAATGCAGGAGACACTGCTTTAAACTTTTTGTCCCCAATTACAAACAAAAATAAATCTGGGAATCATTTTTGTTACATTACAATGATCAACAGCCATATCATCCGGCTGTAAAATGTCGATATAGCACCCACAGCTCTGGGTTAGTAATATGTCAATTATTTTGCAAGGGGCCCTGCTAATACATGAAACTTCCAAAGCAGAGTAACAAAACTTGTATTGGTGAAAATTAATCCTCTGGGGTCAGTGTTCAGCGTCAGCTCCCCAGCAGAGGGGAGAGTGATACTCTGCTGCAAGTGGACACCTTAGTCATGCAGAGCCAGTTGCTGGAGCAGCGCCATCTCAATTGTACACAACTTGAACTTTGGAAGAATATTTTTTTTGGTCTCTATCTATAATCTTCATAATATGTAGAGAAAGTCTTTCAAAATACATGACTGAAAGAAAAAAAAGGGAACTACATTCATAGTAAAGCTGGTATTGGTTGTTATTGTCTTTTCCGCCATACGAAGGAAGCATATTTGTGGAGAATAACTGAAAGGATAAACGCTCAGCCCAGTTTAGCTGTGTCCTATTATTAGGCCTGGCTCAGTCTCTCAGCGCTCAGCTGTAACTGAACTCCGTCTGTCAAGTCACGTCCTCTTCCTGCTCTCCCCCACTCAGCATTGCTGCAGCCAGGCTAGGGGACATTCGGGTCTGTGGCACCCCACAATCCAGGCATACAGCAGGACAGTTAAGCAGCTGCCTCCTCTGAACACCTCACACGATGGAGGCTCTGATTGTCCAACCGCATGAAGGTGAGAGAGGGATGCATGAAGAGGAGGAATATGAAAAAAATGGGGAACTGGATGAGGGAGAAATTGAGCCCTCGTCTCCTGTGGCATCTAGATCAGAGGACGACACTGATGAGGATTCAGAACCTGAGCCACCGCCTGTTATTCGAAGGAAAGTGTCATTCGCAGATGCGTTTGGCCTTGATCTGGTTTCGGTTAAGGAGTTTGACAACGCTGAGGTGACAGAATCCGAGGCTAGCTGGTCTGATGGGAGGAAGGTGGTCCAATCACCAGAGGAAATCTATTTGTCTTGCTTGTTTACAGTCCCCTCTTCCACAGAAGAGTTGGATCAGAAGCTGTGTGAGCAGATGGTGGAGCTGGAAAGCATTGAGCTTCTCCCGGGAACCACAACTCTCCGGGGCATCATCCGTGTGGTCAACCTCTGCTACAACAAGAGCGTCTATGCTCGGGTGACTTTGGATCACTGGAGCAGCTACTTTGATCTGCTGGCAGAGTATATACCAGGCTCTAGCGATAGGAGAACAGACCGGTTCACATTCAGGTACACTGTGGTTCCTCCATTTGAAAAAGAGGGAACTAGAGTGGAGTTCTGCCTCCGATATGAAACTCCAGTGGGCACTTTCTGGGCAAATAACAAAGGGATGAACTATGTGATGTTCTGCCACCAAAAGACACCAATAAAGGACCATGTGACTCCAACAGAAGAGGAGAGCAGCAGTTACAAGAGCAAAAGAAGCTGCCTGAAGGCCAACAGGTGAGATAAGTCTATAACCTTCTGAGGGTTTGCTAAAACACAGGCAGAGGCAAGTGAAGGCCCAAGGCAGTAATCTGAGACAGTGAGGGGTTTCTACCTACTCTGTGCTGCTCCTCTAATAAATGGAGCTTAAA